CCCTATGTGAACCACCGACAAATGCTACAGATCGACGCGACACCGTACACCTCCAGAAGCGCGGGGTGCACGCCATGTCAAGCTCCAACGGTGCGACCTGACCACCCCAAGAGCTGGGGGCGGTGTCGTCTGCTATTAGGGTAATGCCGTCTAACGCCCCTCAAGCACCCCTGAAGATGCCATCTCGTCAGAGAGGTTGTTCCGTCCCCAGAGTCAACGGCCATGCTGGACCAGGGCCCGACCAATTCCCGCACGCAAGTATAAATACCTCTGACCTGATCTATGAAAAAAGGAGGGGGGGGGGAGGAAAAACAGGGAATAAAAACCAATCTAACTTGCTCGTCGGAGGGACCAAAGTCAGGACACACCCGACGAAGACCTTTTTGTAGGGAGGTGGTCGTCATCAAGCTGCAGGCGCCTTCACCCCGAAGTCGTCTCCCAATACGCAGAGGAGGGTGACCCAGCGGCTTGGATCCAACATGTGCCAATTTCATCTCCCGTTCCAAAGAGGAGCCCGCGTGATGAGGAAGGTCGCCATCTATCCTAGAGATGAGCGGACATATCTTCCCACAAACGGAGCTCGGGGTCGATGGACCTTAGAAAGTCAACCCTTGCATTCCCACCAGAAGTTTCCGACGTCGGCACGTGGGCCTTGAGTTGACCCAATGACATGAATATAGTTACAGGAAAAATAAACATGGGCCTAACAAAGTTGACAGGAAAAATGAGTTCACGATGATAGTTGACATTTGATATTCATGATGACCAACCTGCAGAAGTTTGCAAGTTGGTCTGCACCTGAATACATTCTCTTGCCCAAAGAAACACAAAACAATGAGTTGCACAATTTCACATGGTCAACAGAGGGTTATGACAAGAGGAGACCTACAACCAACACATGGAGAATCATATACACCTAAAACTTTGTCATATATGCAACTTCTATGTCATTTCTGTGGTCCATCTGCTCAGAACACCAAAAAGGAAGTAGCTGAACTAAATGGGGCCTTTGAAGTGGCTTCAAAGCTTCTAACCATGGAGACCAGTTTGAAGTGATTCTGAAGCTATAAAAAAAAAATGGCAGCTGAGATTTGTCACAAAAAGAAAAAAAAGCTTATTATTACTAAATGTTAGAGCCACCTAAAATGATATGACGGGTTGTACGAGACCATGTCAGCACAAACCAATCCATGGAAGTGTCAGTGATTAGATAGTCTCACAGTTCCTTTCAGTAAGGTGGTAAGTCACACGACAGCAACTGACTCCCACCTATTTGTCATTTGCTTGAACATTAAACATTTACTTCATTGTTCACGATTCAAGCAAGGTGTTGGTAGAACAGAAGTATTTAGGTAGAAGTAGATAGCACAGATGCCACGTGTTGTCCTTTTGACAAACATTATGTTTAGAATCAACAAGGGTGCTGTTCAAGTACAAAGTTCCTAAAAATATTTTGGTTAATCAGAAAATACCATGAAGTTGTGAGAAAAGAAATCCTTACTGGTATGGACCTGTTAGGGTTCCTGACAGAGTGCAGAATGAGAAATCGGATAATTGTCAACAGCCTGAATACATAGAAATAATCAAATCCCTCTGTCCAATGCTTAGCTTAGCATCAATCAGCATATAACTTAAAAGCAACTACAGGATCACCCAAGTTTCTATAAACAATTTGACTATGTGAATGGGTTTACTGACCGACTGCTGAGTAAAGCCTGCCAACATTACCAGTATTACCTCACCAAAGAACCATAGTTTTCTTCTTTAGCCTTCTGATTTCCTTGATGAAATATTCAACAGCAGAACACAGCCTATGCCAGAATAAACAAAGAGACTGTCAATAATCAACCATATTAAGGTTCAATAATCAACCATATTAAGGTATGGGACAAGCAGGATGCTTACCAACCACTGTTTCAACAGCATCTTCCTGGCCTGAAACATACAGAAAGGATGCAACTGATGAAAATATATCAAAGGCTATTGAAGATTACTCATGAGACAAATCTGTCATAATAAAGTTTCAAGTAATTGCCACATAATCAAGAGATGCTAAACTAAGTGAGGTTCAGAACAAGAGAGTTTTATATGTAAGGTTCAGTTCCAGAACCGACATCCATGCTTAGAGGTACATCATGAATAAAATATTCTGTATATACAAGTCACTTATTAATGTGCATCACATTCTTCATATACAATAAGTTTCACGAAGCTTTGGCGTCCTCTGGCCTTTTGATATGTGATTGGTCAGCATCCCCACTGCCATGCTCAGATCCTGAGCTCCTATGGCTATCGTCAGCAGCTACCGCAGCACTAATTGTGTCTTGCTTACTCCCACATCCATGTACTGTGCTGCTAGAAGTGCCAGTCAGTGGAAATCCAGCCATACTTGGATTTGCATGAGGATTGGCATTGCCTCCAGGAGGTAGTCCGGTATGCATGCTTTGTACACCATTGGCAGCCCCAGGTCGAAAAATCATTTGGCCTGGGAATACCATTCCTTGGGACTGGTGGTGTAGCTGCTGCTCTTGCATCTGTTGTGGGTTATACTGTAGGGGAGTTCGCGGAGAGAACATAGGTGCCTGATGCATGTAATGACCTGCCTGTGGTATTGAGCCATGCGGCATCATCTGTTAAAAAAATACCAGTTAATGAAATGGAAACAATGAGCAGATAATGGTAAACTACTAAAGTTTCTAGAAAATGGTACCAAACTGACCTGAGGGCGAACTGCAGGTGCATTGGGTTGGGCATCTGCAATTGCAGCTAGGTACAACAGATTCTTTTGAAGCTGGGCTTGATACCTGATTTAAAACTTGAACAGTGAGAGTGGAATTTATCTCTATAGAATATAGATTAAAGGAAAAAAAATGCAGTTGTCTCTGATCCAAAGAATAAAAAATTCTATATATTGATAATCATATTTGTAATATCAACACTAACATGTACTACATAATTTAAAAAAAAAACATGTACTACATAATTAAATACAGGAAGATTGACACCTAGGTCATGAAAAATCAGCATCAATATAAGAAGGGCAAGAGAGAATCAATATAAGAAGGTAAAGAGAGAAGAAGGCATCATAAGATCAAACTTTTGACTGTGCAAGATTACAAGTGACCCTCAGCAGTAGACCATTACGATGGTAACAACAATGATCAAGGGCTTAGGAATGCAGGACTACACTGGAAAAGAGTAAACAGCCATTTAAATTCTCCAAAGTATCATATATAAACCAAAAAAACTACAATTTTCTTACCATAACCAAAATTGAAAAATTGGGTGGTACTAATCTGAGTGTAGATCCTTAAACAAGATCCATTAATGTATTGATATCGGCATGCATCGTGGCCCTTACCTAACACAAAATACATCCATGACGTTTTCATTAAATCCAAGTCCGAAAATTAGTTGACTGAGATCTACTATAATTCTCTGATAAGATTCGGGTCCAGGTCCTACATAAATCTAACTTGTTAATGACTCTCCATTAGATTATACAACAAAGAATTTAAACTTTTTTCGATGATTTTTAGCCTGAAACCAAACTTCTCTTTTTTAGCAATCAAGAATCAAAAGTATCAGAAAACTACAGTTGCACTACAGACTTTGTCTGCAATGTTCTTAACACACAAGAAAAGGGCACATAAATAGAAGTCTCCATAAAATGAGGTACATGCATTTTCCACAAGAGTGATCACATCTTTACAAGGGTGAACATCAATGGATATTGATAATGGAAATATTTGCCTCCAATCAAAGCTTGATAAGTGGCATCCTGGTCAACAGAAGAAGACAAAAACCATCAACCGCTGATCCAGCCACATCAACATCCGTCGAACATAAAATACTCAGGGAATATTTTGTATTTCGTAGTGGCCAAGGAAGGGACCAACTATAAATGGCAAATCAGGGCATGGTTATCGAGGTATGATCCTTCTCACCCTCACCTGCACATAGTCCATTTCAAGAATCTGACTTGAGAATTAAAGGACCACGTCGAGAACCCCACCCAACATTGGTCTCAGTGCAAGTCGGCCCCACAATGGACACTCGAAGGTGCATTGTGCGGATTCTAGGGCTCCTAGCGCAAGTCGAACCAGGATCGAGTCGAGCTAGTCAGACACTCCAAATCAACCACCGACATCTTTCCCCATCAGATATGGTCCATAGTAACAAAACCATAGTTGTATCTATATTGAGTGGATATAGTTTGAAGGCTAATATTAAATGGATATTAAATTCAAGAAACCAAAATTGTTCAAAGCATAACTATCAAAGTGAAATGCACCATGTTTGTGTTAGACCAGTTATATCAACAGTACTAATTTGATAGCCGTGAAAGGTGCTTACAAATTGTATATACATGCAACAGAGGCATCAAACAAAGAGATGGGAATGTTAAAAATAGACAACTGCAGAAGTGAAGTTCATTAATCAACTTACTGAGCACATTCTACCAACTTTCCCAAGTTCTGATTTTCCAAGATTGCCAAAATGAGCTGCTTGTTCTCATCCAAGTACTGCGTCAAAGAAAAATCAACAAATTGTAAAAACAGAGTAAGCTGAGATAAATAAATGCTAGAACTGCAGAAGGCTAAAATCACAGCACACAACTAAAGTGGCAATTCAGCATTCAAACATGCAAGGTAAAATGCTGGAAAAACTAGCTTGTGATGATAAACATAAAGTAATAAGATTTGATGCAGAGCCACAAAAATAAGAACATGACTGTTACACACATCAGAGAATGTTGGATGCGAAAACGAAAAGCAAGACTGGTTTATTTTTGGATCAAGGACAACTACGTTTACCAAACACTATCAAGCAATGTCATACCTTCCATCATAGCAATCTTCATCATGTAAGTTTGATATAACACAAATATAAGTTAGATTCTCTCGGATCAGGACTGCAGCATAAGAACGTAATCTTGATGAATTTTCCATGATTTGATGAGCATTCAAATTAGAACTGGGAAAATTGATTGTCTGAGCAGTCTAAGGTCTGAGAAAATGCTGGATTTCTATTAGGTAACAAAATGTTCAAGACAAAATTTTGATTTCACAATCCTACGATGTGATGGAAAGTTTAAGGACAATAACTACAGATGTTAACATTTTAAAATGATCCTAATGAATTTATTGAGTAAAAACCAAACGGGATGAGAGAGAAAATGAGAGAAAATTTTCAAAGCACCAGAATTTAGAGTAACAACTTAGCCTTTTGTCAACAGGACAAGCATCACAACATTTTTATCATATTCAATATCAGAAGGTTCAATCCATAGAAAAAACTTTCTGTAAGAACAATATCAAAACACTTTGAACTTGATATCAGAGGATAAAACTAGAGTCAGATAACCCTAATGGCTTCAAAGATTGTCCTAGCCAAACGTACTAAAGTTTCATTAATCCTAATAAAATACCGCCATAAGGTAGAACTGTACCCTATGGCAAAATGAAAGATGATGTCAATAATGAAGAAGGATTTGCCCTCCGGTCATGGCTAAGCGTTGAGTAAACTGGTATTTAAGTAAGATCATTTACCTTGGTGGATTGGATTTTAAATACAATATTCTTCAGTCTAGCAGAAAGCTGCATACCACGATCCAAATTAGACATAAATGTACAAACACAAATGGTCTGTACAGGCATGGGGGCAAGTCACAAAAGATCCTATGTGTTCAACATTCGGTCCACGTTTCTGACCTTAGTTCATAACATTGCCCTAGTCTTTTAACACAAGTATCTAATGAAGAAATTGCATGTTTAAATTGTGCTTCTTCCTTCAGCAAAACAAGTCTGAAGTTCCGAAAACAAGTCCAATCAAAGGGACCATAATAATTTACAAATTTGAACCAAGCACACGACAATTTTAGTTAGGCCATGCAAAAAAGAACAAAGATTAAAAAAAAAAAATTCAAGATTTAGGATAATCTCTGCTTGTTAAGTAAATAAGGTAAACCTAGAATAGTTTTAGGACTACTGCATCCTCAACAATCAATAGGAATATGTTCCTCTGACAGTGTATTCTTCAGAAAATATAACTCAAAACACAAAAAAAGAATATGTCAAGTGAATAGAAGTGGGGAGAGGAGAAGGGAATTGGATCTAGAAAAACAGATTCTCTCGTTGAGAATATAATCAAATCTCTACAAAAGCTGTTGTAGCTTCTCCCCAAAATTGGAGATACTTATTAAGTGGAGAGAAATGGATCATCCATATATTTTGTTTCGGTAGTCGCCCAATCTTCTTGTCTTATATTCATTTAAAAGATCAAACTAGAGACAATATTGTATTATTCCCTCGTGTCCAACCAGAGCAACAGAAAGTAAAATTCTCATTCTATTCTCCTCTCTTATTCCCCTTTCTCTTCTCTCAATTTACCAACCAAACAGAGCCTTCATCCCAAAATGACATCTTTCCAAGTAAACTGATCAAACCCTAGGATAGCCCGCAGAGTGACCATCATGAATAGTGAAATTAAAGAAGAAAAAAAGAAAGAAAATCAATGGGAGCGGCAAAAGAAAGGATACCTTTTGAATCTGTTCGGTTGTGATGTTGGCGACAGGAACTGTGGACACGGGGGTCGGCGGATGCGTCGGCTGCTGCATGCTTGCCAGTTCGCCTGTGATTCAAGCTCTCCCTCTAATTAAGGAGGACCGGGTTGTAGCTTTCTTTATAGATTTAGGGTTTACATGAACTAGCGGTCGAAAAGGAAAAGGGTCGGGTGGATGTGGTTGGGGTTTTGAAGAAGGGAAGGCAAAAGTAGAATGTTTTTTTTGGATTTTGATTCTCGAACTTGTGCCATTCAACATAAATTCGGTGGATGGCAATTCACCTATTTATCTTTAATTAAACTATTTATTCTTGCTTCCCGTGGTTTGTGACTTGGATTTTTGAGGATTTCGTTTGGTAGAAGAGTCTGAATGCTATATGTAGACTTAGACGTGATAATTTGGGAATAAAATAAATTATTGCTCTCAAACTGGTAATTCCAATATTAATCATACTAAACGAATCATGTCTTATATTTATCTAAAGAGGACAGCATATGAGTTGTAGCCAAATATGACACCGTCCAATCTTGGAAGGTTAATTTTTCTTTCAATATTAGTTATTGAAAGCATTGGATTCTTTAAAAAGTAGTTTTTCGAATGGTATCGATGGTTTCTCTCGATATTTTGAATTATAATTAGTTTTTTAATATTTCTATGAGTTTAAAGCCTACATTCATAGAGATTGAAGTTTTTGTTGAGATCGATACTAATTCTAGTTTTATTTTGAATGGTCGTCTTTGGGATTATGATAAATCGAGACTCGAGAACATATTTGCTAGCACGATTGGCTCGATCGATCGATCGATCGCTTACGTCTTGTCTTACGAAGACTAATGGATATGGAGGCATGATCATAAAGCTGTGATTCATCCCAGAAATCAGCTGATAGCTGGTACGAGATTAATTGTGATGATTGCTGTGATTGTGATCGGGAGGAAGGAATTGGGACTTCCATTTAAATATGATACTGGCATTTGCTGACTCTCTGATTGCAAGTTCTTGTCCTGAAAGAGCATTCTATATTGGTGAGGCAATAACGATTCAAAGGACACACCATAGATCATTCTCCTTCTCAATATCAGTAGAAGCATTTTGTACCTTCTATCAACCATGTTTTTAAGAAAGGTAATAAAAATTCTGGAAAAATTATATAAAAAAATAATTACTGGGATTATTTAAATGATACTTATTGTCTGATTTTACATGATCAAAAATTTAATTTTGTTCATGAACAAAAACAAAGAGTCTCAACCCAAGTAATTAGTTTGATCCATCTAATCTGGTTTCTCCTCTTATTTTCAGTTTCAATAAATCACTTATTTACCCAGTGCTAGCAATTTAAGTAATTTGGTTGCTGAAAATTTAGGATGCAGAACTGGCATGAGATCTCTTGAAGCCCAAACAATCGAGAGAGAGAGGATTTATCAGTAGTCTGAATGGGCACGGTTGAATGGAAGATGGCACAGTATCTTCTCACAGTACAAAGCAAAGGTGCAAACAAATTGGTTGCTTGACCTTTCAAAGAGCCACAAGGCATCAGCCTCCACCTGTTGAAATCTCTTCATTGTTCAGACTGAGACCATTTAGTAAGCTTTTAGTTGCAACTTAGCATTCACAGCACATGAGTTCTTCAATAGATGTGTGTATATATATTTATATATATTTATATGTATATATATTTATGTATATATGTATATATATTTATGTATATATATATACATATATATATATATATGTATATATATATATATACATATATATATATGTATATATATATATATATATATGTATATATATATATATGTATATATAGATGTATATATATATATATAAATATATATATATATATACATATATATATACATATATATATATGTATGTATATATATATGTATATTTATATATATGTATATATATATATATATGTATATATATGTATA